ATATTCTCTATAGGGTACCCTATATGTTCTCTTCTTATGTACAATCATGATTGTAGGGTGTACATGACAAAGTTTGCAAAGTACCTCATTCATCCGCAAAAGTGTCAAGAAATGCCAGAAAGAATCGATGCACTTGTAATTAGGATTCATTTGGCTTCCCAGTTCTATGAGAATAGCAATGCAAAGCACAATGAGGACTATGACACAAACTCTTATCTCATTCCAAAGAGTGTTAGGAAGGCAAGGAATGATGCATGTGTTTGATTTTGGATCTTGAAATGCGTATTCTTGCTTACAGCTTCCTGATCTTAATTGCTTGTTCTTGATTCTTGTTTGATTGTACAAAGAATGAGAATTCACATATGAGTTGGGGATCATGACTCTATATATATTTTTGCATATGTATTTTGGCATATTATGAAAAACAACCCAAAGGAACATGGTCTCTACACATATTTAGGCTCGTATCATATTAGATGCTCAAAGTCCAATAACTTTAATTCTTTATTAGATCACTTTAAATGGACTTAACCTTGAGATATCATTTAATACACAATTAATTACATATGTAGGTTCATATGACAAATTAAAACCCAACAATCTCCTACTTGGGTCACATATGTTACCTTATAAATTTAAATAACCTTATGACGTCTAAATTTTGCTATCATAACCAAAAACATCTTTTAAATAATCTCTTCCATTAATTATGTCAATATAGAATCAAAGTGATCTTTGTTACAAGTATCATATTAACCCATCAATAATCACGTATATCAACACAATTAAATGACATAGATCAAAGCGATCTTTGTTACAAGTATCATACTAAACCCATCAATAATCCCATATATCAACACAATCAAATGACAAAGATCAACTATGGATGTGTAGTATAAAAAATACATGAATGTGATTCAAACATATCTATTTTCAACTGGCCCTACTTTATTCTTTAATGAGATCAAACCAAAATACTTTAATCATAGTGAAAATAACTGAATATTTATTTCTACAAATTAACTGAATATCGATATATAAAATTATGTGTCTAAAGCAGACAACATTCAAATACAAACTCCCACTAAACCAACATATCATTTAAATGTCCAATACCCATGTAAATGATGTACTCATGAAAAACTTTAGGTGGTAATCCTTTAATAAATGAATCGGCTATTATAGAGTTTATTCCAATATGTTATATAGTAACAACTAAGACTCTCTCATTAGCAACTAGGAACTTGATGTCTATAAACTTCAACTTTGTTGAACTCTTATTGTTGTTTGAATATAAGATAATTGACTCCATGTCACAAAATAACTTAAGTGATTTTTCAATCTCATCCAAAATTTATAGTCCAATAACAAAGTTTCGTAGATATATTCTTGGATTGGATGCCTCATATCATTCTATAAACTCTGCCGCCATGGTTGAGGAAGTTACAAGTGTCAACACTTTACAGGATATAGCTCCTTTAGCCAGCAAATAGACATAGCCAGATGTATATCTTTGACTGTCTTAACATCCAACAAAATCGGAATCAAAATATCTAATAATCTCTAATTAGTCTGGTTTTTTATATATGATCATGTAGTCTTTTGTTTTCTATAGATATCAGATAACCCGCTTTGCCGTCTTCAAATGATTCATCCCAGGGTTACTCTCATATATTTGCTTAACATTCCAATAATGAATGTTATATCTGAATGTGCACAAACCTAAGCATATATTAAACTCCCAACTACTAAAGTATATGAAATTTTCTATATTTTTTTCTCTCGAAGCTCATTCTTAAGATATTGATTGAGATTGAACTTGTCTCCCCTAATAACAAGGGTATCATCTGGTTTACAATCCTACATCTCAAATCTTTTGAGTACCGTTTAGATATAACTCTTTTTTGATAATAAAAGAATATCCCGAGAATGATTTTGATTTATCTGTATCTCTAATACAAAAGAGGCATCACCAAAATGTTTCATCTCAAAATTTTTTAACACAGTTCTTTTGGTTTTGTGTTATAAGCATCTATTATTGCAGGCAAGTAGTATGTCACCAACATATAATACTAGAGAAATATACTTACTCTCACTAAACTTTTGATATAAACAATGACCAACTACGTTCATCTCAAAATCAAATGAGACAATTATTTGATGAAATTTGTGATCCATTGGCAGGAAGTCTGCTTAAGCTCATATATGGATTTATTTAATTTGCAAACCATTTTCACAGGGTCTTTAGATACAAAGTTTTTTAACTATACCATATAAATCGTTTTATCAATGTAACCATTGAGAAATGACGTCTTATACCAATCTGATGTAGCTCAAGATAAAAATGTGTCATAGGTGTCATAATAGTCATGAAAGAGTGTTTCATTGAAATCGGAGAAAAAGCCTTTTTAAATTATATGCCTATCTTTTGACTAAAGCATTATGCAATAAGATGAGCTTTATATCTGCACCCATCACCTTTCAAATCCCTCAAATCCCCCTTGATTTTGAATATCCATTTATAACCAATGGGTTTCGCATTGGAAGCTAATGTGATGAGTTCCCAAAAGTTATTGTTTCATGTACTTTAACTCTTCATTCATGGTATCAATTCACTTTTGAGAGTTATCCATTTGCATTGCTTGATTAAAGTTACATTTTCCCGAAGAAAGATTATAAAGTCATCTAGAATTGCGTTGAGGTTGTTGAGTTTGTTCTTCTATAACAAATTCTTAATTGTGTGTAATGGGTTCTGGAATATTATCTAAATTTGAAATTGCATCTTGAACAAGATCTGAAACAGGAATTTGTCCTTGATCTTGATCTTTGTCAATTACAATAGAAAGAATAATAACATATTCCTCCCTCAAAGTTAAAATCCTTAACCACATCTTTCCCTGCAAACTCTACATCTTCAAAGAACCGAGTATTTCTCGTTCCAAAAATTGATCTGTTAGTGAGATCATAGAATTTGTAACCCGTTGACTTTTCATAATATTCAATAAAATAGCAAGCGACAGTTTTAGAGTTCATTTTATTTTTAGATGGCCTATGAGGCCTTGACTTAGTAGGACAACTCCAAATGTACAAGTGCTTCATACTAGGCTTCTTGCCTGTCCAAAGCTTATAAGGGGGTTTGACAGTTGCTTTATTACTTGTGCATTTGAGTCTATTCAATTGTGCCTATCCTCAAGAATAACTCCTTCACTCACTTTATTTTTTATTTGCATGATTATGTGACATGTCTATCTTCGAAACTCTATTGAGAATATAAGCTGCATCCTTTAGTACTTCTCCATAGAGAGATTCTGATAAGTTGGAATAACTAATCATACTTACTACCATGTCCTTAAGTATTTTTTTGTCTTTCAGCAACACCATTTATACTAGGTGATCCTAGCACGGTATACAGTGGGACGATTCAATATTCCTCTAGCAATCCAGCAAAAAGGCACTAGAAGTTGTTCTCCTAATCTGTCATAGTATCCTCCATTATGGTTAGACCTGAAGTGTTTTATTATTTTGCCGAGTTAATTTTTAATCTCAGTCTTGTAAGACTAGAACATGTTCAATTATTAGGATTTCTCATGAATGAAATACAAGTACCATAGTAAGAAAAAACGTTCATGATCATAATAAATGAGTGTTGATCATTTCAAGAAGTTGGAGGGAGTGATCCACATATGTCAGTATGAATTAGTTTTAAGACGTGCGAAGTCCTAATGACACATAATCTCCTTATATTTGTTTGTTTTCCTTTAATGTAATTACCACAATCACATTAGTCTGAAAAATCAAGGGACCAAGAATTCCTTCTAACACAAACATTTTGATTCTCTTTTGAGAGATACGACCTAAAGGCTTGTACTATAATGAAGCAAAATTCTCATTGACTAATTCACGTTTAATACCTCATGAATTCACATGTAATATTTTATAATAATTGCTAATCACATTGAGCAACTATAGATTATCATACGTGGATAAAGAACTGATATCTACAACATTTGAATTAAGAGAAATAGTTAATTTATTATTTCTAAGTGAACAAGAACAACCAAATTTGTCCAATATAGAAATAGGAACTAAATTTTATCTAAAAGATGGTACCACAAAAGTCTCTCTCAAATTCAAATAAATATCAGCCTATAATAATAATAATAATCTAAAAATTCTAATAGCCTCAACTTCAATTGATTTGTCGTCACTCACATAGATGAATCTTTCAGCATCATCTGACTTTCGGCTTTTTAGGCAATCCTGTATAGACATACTTATATGAATAGTGACATCGGAATCAATCCACCAATTATGTCTAGATATTGAAACTAAATTAACCTCGAAACAAATTAAAATAAGAAGTGTACCCTTTTTTACACTTTATTTTTGTTGGTATTACTCTAGAGTATTTGGTATAATAGAAATAGGGCTAGGTTTGGGAAACTTTTATACATTCACATTGAAGTAGTGAATTTTTGTTAGGAAGTTCGAGCTAACTAATGATAAGGATCAAAAATAGCGAATTGTGAAAGTATGTCGCCCATTATTATAGAGTTGAGTACTTTTTTTTTGGTACCATCATGGATCAAAATTTAACCGATACCTAACTTAAAATCGAATTAAAATCTTAACTCTATTTAAAAGAGATCCAGTCCTTTGATAGTGGTCTTTCGAATTTAATTATGTTCAATTTTGAGTAGTAATAAACACAAGTCATTTTTATTGGAAAATGTAGAATCACTTCTTAAATTTAAAAGAACAATTTTGACATAACATTTAGCTTCATAAAATTAGATATACATAAGAGGATTATATGAAAATTTAATACTGATTTGGACAATATCCATCATGATGGACTTATTATGCTAAAATATTAAAAAGATTAACTTGATGTAATTCAAAGATTTGAGATCCTTTTGATTGTAGAGCAATAAGTTAGAGGACCAATGTTGCAATTTTCCCTTTAATATCATTTCATTTCTTCCTCAGGACTTTAAAACGCCAAATATTTTATTTTGTAAACGAAAATTCGTAAAGAAAATAAAAAAACCGAAGAGAAAATGGCGAGCGGTGGCGCCGGCGGCGGAAAGGTCTCTTTCAAGGTCACTCTCACTTCCGATCCCAAACTTCCGTTTAAAGTGTTAGTTTCTCCTAAATTACCCCTTTTATCACTTTTTCTTTTATGTCAAATTAATTTCCGTTTCTTAAAGAAAAATGTTTAAATTTTTTTTGGAATTGAATTCATAAACAGGTTTAGCGTTCCGGAGGCAGCACCATTTACTGCAGTTCTGAAATTTGCCGCCGAGGAATTCAAAGTTCCTCCTCAAACTAGTGCTATCATCACAAACGGTATTTTTTCCTCGTGTCATTTTTTTTTTTTAAATTGATTGAGCTTCTGGAACTGAATTTTTTCCTGGAATTTTCTATTTGGACTCTTATTATTATTATATTTTTAAATTGATTGAGCTTCTGGAACTGAATTTTTTCCTGGAATTTTCTATTTGGACTCTTATTATTATTATATTTTTAAATTGATTGAGCTTCTGGAACTGAATTTTTTCCTGGAATTTTCTATTTGGAATCTTAAACTGAATTTCTTTTGTTTATTTTTTTTTTTTTTTTTTTTTTTTTGGTGCAGATGGTGTGGGGATTAACCCTCAACAAAGTGCAGGTGCCTCTGAAATTACATTTATTTAATAGTTATTTTTAGCTCATTATTAGATATTCCGGTTGGCATTAATTTGTTTGTTTACACTATAGGCTTTTATAGATATTATTCTTATGCATGTTTGGTAAGCAATATTGAATGAAATTGGACAGTATAATAAAAAAGAGTTTAACGTGTCTTACTCTCCATTGTTATTAATCCATCCAACCAAAATGCCATATATTTTGTTTTTGACTTAGGTGTGGCCAATTTGCTTGTACAGAGTGTGGTGATGCTTAACTTTGTTGCTTTGGAATTTAATTGTAGTTTCTTATAAACTTTACTACTTTTTTCATGAAAGGTCAAAATGCAATATGTTTTGTTTTTAAGGAGTAATGGGAGTTAGAAATAGGGATGGGATAACAAATAATTTTTGGAAGGTTTCTGACATGTTTAGCATGGATCAAATTTTGCTCCATATTCTCCGGCACAATTGGATTTTCTTTCCCCTCTTATATCCCCTTTCTCCCTGATGGAAAGTTGGCTCCTTTTTTCTTCTATATGTTTTTTTTTAGTTAATAGGGAACCCCCTCACCCCCCACCCCACCCCTCCCCCACCTCCAAAAAAAAAGAAAAATGAAAAAATGAATGAAAGAAAGAAAGAATAATTAACAATTATTCCTTTGTCACGTGATTCGAGCTTTTGAAAAATCCACATTTAATTTATGGTGTTAGGAAACTACATTTGTAATGTATGTTTTCCATTTAAAATAAAATTTCAAACTTACTATATTAATCATCTCACTTATGATAAAGGTGGCACCCCCAAATCTAAATTTTAGGCCTCAAGGCTGAGCTTTCTTTTCTTATTGTATTTCCCCCTACAATTCTATCAAGTACTTTGCCGCTTAACACTACAATGGGGCATCTCTCCACAGTGGTCATATTCTCCCTTATCCGCTCTTTCACTATCTATTCATGGGAACCATATGAAGGGGCCAAATGGGATCTTGCATTTTGTAAAAGAGCTTCAGGGTAAAGTTACATTGACAAGCTTCCACTAAAAGTTTTTCTATTCAGTAAAAGCACTTCCTAAAAATATCCAAATAGGTCTAAAATCTGCTTCTTAGTCTTATAAGTAACTTTTAAATTTTCAAAACCCTACTAAACGGGCAGTAGCAGCATATAGACTCTGGCTGTTATTTGTTTTCACAACCATTGATTCTGGTGCCATCGGCCACTAGCAGTAACCCTTCAATCCTTGTCGATATTATTATTTTGAATTATGAAAAAGCAAGTTTTTTTTTTTTTTTTTTTAGTGCACAATCTTACCTCATTACATCTTCTGATTTGGCAGGGTAGTGATTTAAGACTCATGATTATAAGAGCAGGATCAGAACTATAACTATGTTTTAGGGTGGCTAACATTTAAAGTTGGGATGGACACGAGCTTTTGGAGTGGGCTAAAACTTTTTTATGATCAATCTTTATGAAGTAAATGAGCGAACATATTTTTGGGCCAAACTTTGGGATGGGCTATAAAAGTGATGTGATCTAAGTAGATTAGGTTAGAAGAGGGATAAATAGACCAATATTAACATAGAGTGCTGCGTTTCCCGAATAATATGATTCTATTTGATTTTCTAATAGATGTGAGGATGGACCGATTAAAAGGGGCAAAGGAAAATGATTTACGTAGCTGATGCCAAATTTATTGTGAATAAGGTTTAGTTAGTGGTGGTCTTGGTTATTATTATTCGTATTTAATTTGTTAGAGATAAGTACTATTACATAATAACATTGTGAATTCACATTTAAGTATTACACTATGCATTAACATGATTCTGTTATCATTATTCTCAAGTCAATAAACCAGTTCAAAGTTACAAGAAAGTGCATTGATATGTTCTATAATTTGGATTCGAGTAAGTGATTACAACTTTTGTTCCAAGGAAATTGGGTACAGGTCCTCCATGATGTGTTAGGATTTGGGGGACTATTATTGTGATTCTGGCTTGTTCCAGCACTATAAATATGCATCATGCTATAGAGCATTCTTCTTATTCATTAGATGTTCAGTGGAGGAGTTCTCTGTCCTCTAATTAAGCCCCTGTTTGATTCCCATTTTTGGGATAAAATGAATTATGGAATAGTAATTTTCTGGAGAATGTGTGGTTAAAAAGTAAGAAAAAGTTTTTGAAATTCGTGTATAATTATTTTATAGAAGAATGTGTGGTTGAAAATGTGATTTAAAAAAATGCATTCTTGGAAAAATGGGGATCAAACAAGGGCTAAATCACGATAGTGGCATTATGTTTGATTTTAACAGTGTCACACATCTCCTTCCTTTCAAAAGCACTTTCGAGAAGAATGAAAGAAGATGGAGTAATTCTGTGGTTTTTTTTAATTAAGTAGTGAAGTAAATCTATAAGTGTCTTCTCAAAAATCATGCACAAAACATAGTTGATAAATGTGATTACCGTGGTTCATCCTTGTACATATATCAGCTTTGGATGTTAAACTCTATTTTTGTTAGTTCTACCGTGAAGAAATTTTGATTTACTTTTTGTGCTATAAATTAATATTTAATAAATGTCTAAGGGTGATATTGAAGTGAATATAATTGCATTTGTCCTGAGATGGTGAAGTGCCATAACATTATAAATTCGTCCACATGCATGAACACTATTTCAGTTATTTTGTTCTTACCATTTCTTTCAACTTCTATACTAGATCATCTCTGATTGTTTTCTGTTTTCTTCATGTTATAAACATAATTCTGCTATTTCTTGACATGGTTCTCTGAATTTTAATTTTTACGGAGTTCTAATGCTAGACCGATATCTATACATAATTCAAAATTCTATATTGTTGTTGGAACTTCATTTGGCAATTTGATTGTAAAATTTTTAACTCCTTAACCAATATAAACGAATGGATCTTTCAGGTAATGTATTTCTCAAACATGGCTCAGAATTGCGCTTGATTCCTCGCGATAGGGTTGGTGCTTATTGGATGACATCTTAGGCTCAAAGAGCAGATGGTTTACCTTTTCTCAAGGTCAAATTTACATCTATCTAGATCATTATCCATATTCCATTTTTACATAACTTTTGAATGATACTTTCTCAACTAGTTCTAGGGTGGTGGATATCCAGATTGTTGTACTCCTAGACTGAAATGAATGATGGAAAGCTCTACTTCATCGTCATGGGTTGTGGTTTAGATGGTGTTCTGAATTATATATATTCCACGAAACTCTAGAATTAGTTGCTAGTTAAGACTTGGAAAACTAACGGGGTTTTTGGATTCCTTAGTTGGGTACTTGGGTTTTCCAGCACCGACAACCTTTATTTTCAAGCTCTTTTTTTCTACATTCATTTTCAACTGCACATTCACGTAATAAAATATTATACACGTAAATCCAAAAAAAAATTTCCTACTTTTAACCACAAATTCTTCAAAAAATTACTATTCAAAACATAGTTTATTCCATTTAATGGTTGTCAAACTGATGCTAAATGCGTTTAGTTGTGCTTAAAATGTTTATGTCTAGCTATATATTGACAGTGAGGTAGAAATTTCTTTCAAAATGAGTGACAAGTACAAACTAAGAAAACAATTAATCACATACTTGTTTATGTGAACTGCAATACCAGGCAGCTACTTTTCTGCTGAAGAGTAAGCTTGTTCACCATGGCAAGAACATTACTACTTGGTACTATATATATAGAGTAGTCTCTAACACAACTTATCGTGGCGTGTTGAGCAGGAGCTAGATATTATAATTAACATCTGTTGCACGACTTTAATATTTTCAATTTTGTTTTGGGTATATATATAGCTAGTGGTCCGCAATTACACTTAACCTTCCCATCGTTGCTGCCATCATTGTCACTTGTAACATAGCTTGTCGTGCAACCATCGTGCTATGACCACTTGTAACTTATCTTGTTACATTGCCACCATATCGTCACCGTCGTTGTCACAAACACTTGTAATGTACCATCTTCATTACCACTGCTATCACAACTAATGATCACCTTCCCAAATTGAAGAACCACAACTAGTCAAACTTGAAGCGAACACAACTACCACCTCCTCAAATCAATCAAAGATTGCCATCTCCATAACAATCACCCAACTCTAGTTTGACTTTAGCGCTCAATTTGAGACTTCATAGTTTACTTTGCCACTAAAAATCCAAAGTTGCCACCACTACCATAACTACGAATACCCATGCATGCACACATATCTGAATAGTGGAGGAAGAATGAACCGAAAACACCGATGGATAAAATTAACCAAAAACAATTGGCAGTTTGGTGGCGATCAGTTTGAATGTGTGTGCCTGTCTATGGGTACAATCAAAAGCAGTGTTTAGACGATAAAATAGTATAATAGTTAAGTTTGGAACTTTTGAAAGAAAGAAAAATTGTGGGGTGTAATTTTCAGATTAAAAAATTGCAAATATTCTATTATATTTGCTTGATTATTTGATTGGCGTGCATGTTCAGAGAAAAGCCCATTATTCCACAATAGATTAGGAATGGGTGAACCCATCTTCTCGAATAAAACACTAGCCCTTCGTTCTTTTAGCAAAAATTACCAATTGACATCAATAGTTTCTAAAACCATTTGTTTACTAATGTAGTGTTTATTTAATAAAATTTTATTACTTTCTGATTGATCGTGCTTTAATTTTAGTCACATATTTAATGCGATTTTATCAACTTTTAAACCATACATTTTATTAAAACATAACACATCATATGTAATTCGATGATGTGTTCCACGAGGATGAAATGGAGAAAATATTGGATTAGTCCATTGATCACCATATGAGGGTCATTTATGTGCCATAAAATGTTCTTCAATCGGAATATTGTTGACCGACTTTATTCAAGGATGGTCATGCATTTATATCCAAATGTGATCGTTGTCAAATGAGTGATATATCTTGAAAGGATGATAATATATCGGGTTGTATTTCCTAGTCATTTTCACTTAGTAGTTTAGCTTGGTTTTTGCTTGAGGGCTAACTGTGTTTGGTGGTGTTGATAATTGTAATTCTTACACTTATTTGTAGTCATTTACTTGTACAAATGTTAGTTTATTACTCATTTTTATATTGAATTTTCGTCATTTTTAGGAGAAAGGCGTGCGCTTTAACGGAGAATGAGGAGTTGTGGATCAAGAGATGGATAGTATGAGGTGAAAATCAAGAGTTAAAGATAAATGTGGTACGATCGAGGATTGAAACAGGATAAAAAACTAGATTTGGACCAAAATTCGTCAGAAATCTCCTTATAGCCGCTTCCAAATTTATCGTGCTCGCACTTTTTCAAACTGAGACAATTTCGGCATTTTGCTTGTTCACGAATTTTAATGATGTTTTGGACATTTACGACATATTTTTCTAAGACTACAAATTGAGAAAATAAAAGCAACTTTCTTAAGGATTCAAGAGAATTTGAAAAGAAGACATTTAATAATTTCAACTTATTCGAATGCCTACTATAGCTAACACAAATTTTATAATTTTCCACATAGAATATGCTTAAAATTAATTTTAAAAATTCAATCTGTTTTATCAGTTCAAATTTAAATTTCTTACCACAATATAATAAACAATGATTATTAAAAATTATTTAAGTTAATTATATTTTCATGTTTTCTATCTAAACATGTTCTTCACAAGTAATTTTCTTCGTAGTTAAAGATCACATTGGTGGGCAATAATCAATACTTTAAAATGTAAAAACGCAATATTAATATATTATTGTGCAATTAAAAATATAATCCCGTAGAAAAAAATAGTGCTATTTACAAATAAATTTATTAATTTGAAAATGAATTTATACTTCATTTTCATTGTCAAGTTTTAGTGTATTTTATTAATAAATTATTAAAATTGAACAAAACAGGCTAACGATTTCAAATAATAATGATACTTTTTTCCACAAATCAATATTTTTGGAGGTTGTACATCATATAATGGCATAGACACAGAATAAAGAAAATAAATTAAACTTAATCCAACAGTAAAATTTGGCAATGGGCTTTTAATTTACAATTGGCAAGTCCTAGAATCTGAACCGTTTAGTTTTTCTTAATCTAACGGTAGAGTATAAATTGATGAAAATATGACCGTTATGCAGGGCTTTATTATAACCTGTTATTCTTCAAAGAGAGGAAATGAGTGAGTATCTGGGGTTTTTCTATCAGCATTTTGAGAGATGAAGCTTAGGGGTTCTTTGTCATGAAGAACTAGAGAAGTGTTTTTGTAGATGGCTCAAGTGCTATATAAAAAAAATAGGCGAGTCACTTTTTAATGATAATTTTTATAATTTCTTTTGCTATATGATTATCATGTTTTTAATTCATGCATAGAATGAATCTTGAATGATAGTTTAAATTCAGGGATTTTGTTCTTTGGTCAAACTGATGATCAATTTGGGTTAAACACTGGGAATTTTTGAGAGTTTTCATTTTATGTATTGTTTGCAATCTGATCGTTGTCTCCTAATTTTTTCCATCAACAAGAACTACACAAGGATTTTAAAAGATGGAGTCAAGTGTTGTTCCAGATCAACCGAGAAGTAAGTTAATATTAAAATACTTAACTGAAACTCAGGTCAGTCACATTTTCACGATAATTTCTATAATTCCTTCTAGGGTTTCCATTGAATCTCTAAGTTTTGGGATTCAGCGACTATATTCTCTCTTGTTTCTATTATAATAATATTCTTTGTTTGTTCATTAGGATGAATCTTGTAAGATAGTTTTGTTGGTTAATGGATTTTATCATCACAATAGGAAATTAATTTTCTTATGAAGATTAAAACAGAAGAATAAAAGGATATTAGTAACCTTGAGATTATTGGATTATAAAAATCCTCACACATAGAAAGTGGAGATGATAACTTTTTGAATGAGCTTTTAATGGCGTAGCCAATTGCTTCCTCCCTCAGATCTTCTTCCTTGTTCTCCACTAGGTGTATTTCCTTTTCAAAAAAGTGAAAAGTGGCTAACCCTAATTCTCATTTAAAATATGTCAATAAAGTGCATATTTATAATACTCTATTAGGATTTGAAGATTGCATAAATTTCCTTTGACTTTATTATAGTAGATCAATTAAGTCACACATCTTTTATTGGAGCCAAGAGAGGGACCTAATCGGACTCACATGACCCAAACTTCAATAGATGTTTCCAATTGGGTCAACTCTTGACCAATTGAGATGCATCTATTAATCCTGAATTATTCTACCAAAAAATCGAGATTACACTCTCGAGTTGAGTGATCGTTATAGAAGCAATTATGATCGAATAACAATATCCTCTGATTATCGTTCCACAAGTCAACCCTCATTTGACCGTCAATATGTTGAAACTGGCAAAATAATCGCTTTTGCCCTTAAACATGTATTACCCTCTAAGTACCATTTTCATACAGCAAATTCGTTGTGGTCAAATCACAATGTAAAGTTCAACGATCTCATCGTCGACCTACTGAGCTCAGGTTCAATTTGCCTAGGAAAATATATTAGAGTGACGATCGTCTCATCTCAATGATTAATGGATTCCACTATTGTAAGTATATGATCTCTAATTGTTTCGGCCCGATTCCTAAATCACCGAGATCAATCTTATATGTAAGACTTCACTCATTGGTACCTCAAAGAACTTGAACTAACAATCAAAGGTACATTACTCACTCAGGATTTAGGTGATCTGTTTGATAATAAAGTAGAGTCTCATTTCGAACGATCACAAATGAGTCATCTACGCAGTCCCGTTCTATGTACATCGAAACACATTATTGTTTCTATTTCAAGATCTAGACAATCTTAGTAAGAACAATACAATCTTATCAACATAAAGTGTCCAACTTTATGTACCGATTGTGAACGACATAATTTTGATCACATCACGAATTGTGTCTTACTATATCCGATCTATCGAGTATACAATTTGTGACATCTTATATGATCATGGAACCTTAGATAATTACTTCAAATTGTAAAACACAAATAGACGAACGTTAATTCATAATGTGATTTTGCAGAACACTACTCGAAGAATGGGCATCAAGCTAACAATCTTTTACTTGCCCTTCTTAGAGTATGTGTGACATATCAAGAATACCCATTCCCTTAAGATGCCCATCAAAAGCCTTAGCTGGTAAGGTGAACGAATCTGCAAGATTATCTGCTGATGCAATCTTACTAACCGTCACGTCTCCTCGATGAACAATCTCTCTAACAAGGTGATATTTTCTCT